CTTCTTGATATGCCTGAACTATTGAATTGTATGATACATGTATGAAGTGCCAAAAAACTGTCAAAACAAGTAAAAACAAGTAACAGACGAAGTTGTAGTCTGAGATTAAGCTTGGTTCTTCATTTATCATTCCAACTCTGTGCTGGGACTCTTTTCTGCGGTTTTGCAAGCCAAATACCAAAACCAAAGCTGTTACTGCAATCGTTCTACTTCACAGAGACTTAGGGATTAGTATCACTGACCTCTCAGTCAGCAGCCAAGTGTGTAGGCACTGAGCCACCAGGGCCCCTTGGGGTCCTGGTCTACTAATCTGTCTAATGTACTTACAGTGCTTGGCTCGTCGTTTTACCTCAAAGAAAGAAATGTTGAACATACGGACAAATATGCTTTATACAACTGACGTATGCAATGTTATAAGAGCTGTAGGAGCCCCCAATAAAAATGCTTAGGTGGGTGGGGGGGAAGAGTTGTTGAAGGAGCTTCGATAAATGCGGCCGTAACAAGTCTAAACTACAACTCCCAAAATGCAACGCGGCCACTCCGGGAAGCCGCTGGCCTCGCCCCACCGCCCACACCCATTGGAGGGACGCTCACATTCCCAGGAGGCTGCGCGCAACGGTGGCCTTCAGCTGACTCGCGCCCCTCGGTCCCAGCCCTGCCCGCCACTCTCGGAAGGGGCCCGAAGAGGTAAATGAAGGGGGACGGCTGCCGAGGGGAGGAGGTTGGACCGGAAGGCGCTAGGGGGACTCGGGCTTCTCTGCTGTCCACGGGTCCACTCGTCGGGCAAGGCGGGTTGGGCGAAGTGTGCTTTTATGGCGCCCAGAAGGCCTCGAGTTGGAGAGGGCCGGACGGGTCCGTTCATTTGTTGTTACGGAAGGAAACAGGGCGACTTGTCGGTGGCATTTGAATCCTTGGACTGCCTAGTCCGCCCAGCTCCACGCCCTTGTTTTGATGGCGTCACTCATCTGGGTCTCCTCCAACTTCGGGCTTTGCGTGACCCTTTGAAAGCGCCTGCCCGCCCCGCCCCCACTGCCTTCTGTTGACATACCGCTTCCTCCGAGGTTTCCACCGGCAAAGAGATTATGTCTCCGGTTTAGACGAGGTTTTTGCACGTCAGACTTGTGTCTGTCGTCGTCGTTGTTATTTATCAAACTTAGATCATATACGAACGTCTTCAGGAAATACTTTGCACCCCCCCCCCCCCCCGACAAAGGGTTAGTAAGACCTTTGCTTTCTATTTCCGTTTACCTGTATCACTCTTGATTCCAGAAGATGCTGTCACATTTGGGATAGTCTTTCCATATGGGTAGTGGTGCCTGAGAATTGATCAGCTTCGTGTTTATTTCAACTCATAGTGACTCAATTGAACGGAGGCCATGTGCCTCATGGGATTGTTCTGACTTGAATCTGTACTGGAGTCGCTAGCACTTCAGCACCACCAGCGCTCTGGAGCTTTTTGTCATAGCAACAGCGGTTCTGCATCAGAAGTGCTGACTGCAATCTCACTGGAGTATTTCCTCTTAACAACCAGAAAAAAAAGGTGTCCTGTTGGATTGCTTTCAGCCCAACGGCTTTATCTTTGGTAATGGAAACAGTCATTTTGCTATGTCTTAGTTAAAATTAAAGCATGCCCACTGTTTACTTACTTTTTCAACAGATGTTTGAGAGCAGGCACTGGAACACAGTGAAGATGAAGTGGATACTTTAACGTATCTTCCAAGGGGAAATACTCCTGACTTAGTGACTATCTGTTTAGCCAACATTGCACATTCACCATAGTGAAAAACTTACAAACTTACAAAACTTTGCACATGAATGAATGAGGAATGTCTGCCAGTAATTAACACTGTGGTGTGAGGCAGGAGTAACACCAGCTGTGTTGGTTAAGGTTATGTGTCAACTTTACCTGGCTGTGATTCTCATGGAATGATGCAAAGTTATGTAATGGTGACATTTGGTAGTCAGGTAAATGATGTCACCTGGAGTGTGTGTACTGAGGAAATACTGGCACCTACAGTACCTCACTCACGTACTGCCATCAAGTCAGTTCCAACAGAGTAAAACTGCCTCTGTGGGTTTCTGAGGCTGTAAATCTTGACAGAAGCAGAAAGCTTCATCTCTTTCTCTCATAATACATCAACTCAAAATCTCAACCTCACTGTCGAGTTAATTCTGCCTCTTAGCGACACTATGTAACAGGGTAGAATGGCCCCCCCGTGGGTTTCTGAAACTGTAACTCTTTATAGGAATAGAAAGTCTCAAGTTTCTCCCGCCAGAACAGCTGCTTGTTGTTTAGGCTTCCTCCTAACATGACTTCCTTTCTCTTTCTTGAATACCTTGTATACCACCCTCATTAATTTGATGAGCCAAATTTAGTAGTATACCTTTAATACAGGAGTATAAAGTTACTTTCCATTATTTATTTCCTATCAAGCATTCACCTAATGATTGTTGCAAGAATTACCTTATATACTTGAGTAGAAGCCCACCTGAATGTCAGCCGAGGCACCTAATTTTACCACAAAAAACTGCATTAAAAATGTACTGGAAAACTCAGCATATACTCGAGTATATACGATAATGTAGTACATCTCTTTGGAATAATAATATAGCAATACAGAATCCTTCTTCTTGGTTTTATATTGGACTGCATTAGCGGCCCAACACATGATCTACTATGCCACCAGGGCTCCTTAGGTATAATGTACAGACACGTGTATGTTTTTTTTCTTCATCCAAGGTGATCAGCAAAACTTAAGGAAATGTCCCCAATGATTATGTATAGTTATATGATTATTTGCTGATTATATCTTCTTGCATTTATTTATTTAGCCCTGTCATCCCCCATGGAGGCGTATTGGTTATCGTGGGGCTACTAACTGCAAAGTCAGTAGTTCAAATTATTAGCCACTCCTCGGGAAAAAGATGAGGCTTTCCACTCTCGTTAAGAGTTATTCTTAGAAACCCTCAGGGCAGGTCTACCTTGTCCTGTAGGATTGCTATGAGTTGGCATCAACTAGATGGAAGTGAATTTGGTTTTGGTTTGGTCCCCATAGTACTATGGATCCTGTCACTAGAGGAGGATAGGAGTTTCTTTACTCATGTTCAGACCTCCAGAGTCTATCACATTGGCAGCTCTGCAGTAAACCCTCAGTACCTATGTGTTGATCTGAAATGGAAAGACTGTTGATCCAACCCAAATGTATACAAGGACTTTTATTTATATAGCCTTATCCCTCAACTTTCCCACTTACCGAATGTAGATTGTTCCAGCTCACCTGGATCTTTGTTAGCTTATTCTAACCTCTGTGCCTTCTCTTGGTCCCTGGCTTCCTCCTAAAATGACTTCCTTTCTCTTTCTTGAATACCTTGTATACCACCCTCATTAATTTGATGAGCCAAATTTAGTAGTATACCCTTAATACAGGAGTAGAAAGTTACTTTCCATTATTTATTTCCTATCAAGCATTCACCTAATGATTGTTGCAAGAATTACCTTATATACTTGAGTAGAAGCCCACCTGAATGTCAGCCGAGGCACCTAATTTTACCACAAAAAACTGCATTAAAAATGTACTGGAAAACTCAGCATATACTCGAGTATATACGATAATGTAGTACATCTCTTTGGAATAATAATATAGCAACACAGAATCCTTTTTCTTGGTTTTATATTGGACTATTATCATGTGTTATGTGATTAGTTGTTCCTGACAGTTCTCTGTTTGAATGGTACCACAACCTTTGTATAGCATGTTATTACATCATTTGGCATGCACTTAGTACAAACACATTTTGGAACATTATTTTCTCCTCAGCCGGAAATAATTCAAATGCTAATTACTCTGTCTCGCTGTCAATTTCAGAATGTGAGACAAAGTTCTCAGTTATTAAAATGAAACTAAAGGCTTTATTTCATGTGTCTTTGAATTATAAATCATGACTGCAGAAGAAAATTTTGTCGTTACAACTGATTTTTTTTTTACAACTGATTTTTAAAAAGTAACAAGAGTACAAGAATACTTACATCATAATTGCCATGATTTTAGGATCTGCCAACCTATGAGCCATATGTTCTTAACAAAAAAATTAAAACTTAAGCATCACTATCTTGGGGAATTTCTTTGGCTATATTATCAGGAGAGATCAGTCCCTGGAGAAGGACATCATATTTGGTAAAGTGGAGGGGTAGCAAAGAAGAAGGCCTTCTAGGAGATGGATGGACACCGCGGCTGCCACAATGGGCTCAGGTATAGGAATGATTGCAGGATGGCTCAGGACCATGGAGTGTTTTGTTCTGTTGTGCATAGGGGCTCCGTGGATCAGAACCAGCTCTGTTGTTAAGATGTCACTTAACAACAACAATATAGGAGCCCGGCGGTGGAGGGGTTATGCATGGGCTGACACTGCAAGATCAGCAGTTCGAAACCACCAGCCAGCTCCATGGAAGAAAGATGAGGCTTTCTGCTCCCATAGAGTTGCAGTCTTGGAAACTCACAGGGGCAGTTCTACTTTGTCTTATAGGGTCTCTGTGAGTTGGTATCAACTCATAGGCAGTGAATGAGAGTTGGCACCTATACCCTACAAATGCAAAGGCAACAGTGAAAGTGACGTTGCTCATTTATAGAGTGCTTATCATGGACATGATTCAGAATATACTTGTATATTTTTAATGTTATAAAAATAAAATTTGTTGTTGTTAGGTGACGTCAAGACGGTAGTGACCCTATATGCAGCCGAACAAAGCATAGAAGGGGTGCTCAAAAAATACATGAGTTTTTTTTCCAAAGCTATGTGTTTAATTTTTTTCCACAAAACAACCTTATCACCTTCAAAGCACTCTCCATTACACTTAAAGCATTTGTCAAAACTGAGATTACATTCTTGGAAACATTTTTCAAACTCACCTGTTTGGATGACTGACAGCATCTCCCTTGTTTTTTTTCTTCACCTCAGCTACGTCATCAAATTGCTGTCCTTTCATTTGGCCTCTTCTCTTGTGGAAACAAAAAGAAGTCACACGGAGTGAGTCAGGTGAGTAAGGTGCATGGGGCAAGAGAGACATACTGTTTTCTGACAAAAACTAGCACGCTGAGATGGCTGCATGAGCAGGTGCATTGTGGTGGCAAAACCAGTACCCTGTCTGCCACAAATCAGGCCTTTTTTGTCACACACTGTTACGCAATCTTTTCAGAACCACTAAATAGAGAGCTTGATTTACAGTCTGGCCTGGTGGAATGAACTCCAAATACACTATCAGTCAACATTTTCATCCGTTCGGGAAGTTGAAGGATGTCCAGAATGAGGTTTGTCATCAATCGACATTTCACCTTTTTTGAAATGAGAAAACCACTCATATACTTGAGTTTTCCCCATAGCGCTGTCCTTGTAATCTGTGTTCAACATCACAACAGTTTCTCTGGCATGTTTCCCAAGCAGGAAACAAAATTTCACAGCCACACGCTGTTCTCTTAAATTGGCCTTCAAAAAAAATGAGATTCGAGTCTCCTTTCGTAAACTGCTTTTACAAAAAAATGCACTGTGACCCGAGAGAACCTTCCCAGGTGACACCACTGGGTGCACTAACTCAGAGCAAGTTGCTCTATGCTTGCTTAGCAGGGAAAAATGCATACTACGAAAGCTCTCCTCAGCGGAGCTTTGGGGTGGGGGTGGGGGCTGCCTCATATGTCTGACTCCGCACCGTCCTCACAGTTATGTTCAAAGTCATCATTGCCACCATGATGTAAATCCATCTTGTTGAGAGCCTTCATCTTTTTCGCTGCCCCTCTACTTTACCAAACATTGGTGTCCTTCTCCAGGGACTGGGCTCTCCTGGCAACATGTCTAAAGTATGTAAGACTAAATCTCGCTATCCTTGCCTCAAAGGAGCACTCTGGCCATACTTCTTCCAAGACAAATTTGTCCTTTTGACGGTCGGTCCATGGTATTTTCAATATTCTTTGCCAGCACCCCAATCCAAATGCATCAGTCCACCTTCTGTGTTCCTTATTCATTATCCAACTATCATATGCATCTGAGGTGATTGAAAATATCATGGCTTTGGTCAGGCACACCTTAGTACTCAAAGTAAGGTCCTTGCTTTTCAACACTAAAAATAGAATGGAAAAAACGTCTCAGAACCCATGGACTCCAGAGTGAGAGAAACTGACTGGGTCTTTTTCACCTGCCCTGCTCCCTGGCCTTGCCTAGACGTCCTCCGCTGAGATAGAGCATTTATATCAATGCATGCTATTTTGTTTTCAGGAATTTTTATATACAGGCAATCCCTTGCAGATAGAAATATTCCCAAAGTTCCGTGGTGAGATTATTGTTTGAAACGGAATTCATTTTCCCCAATAAATAAGGTGATCCATGACAACGGTTTCGTTCTCATACAATCCAGTAGCCTTTAATTTACTGAACTACATACCTTCACTACAATTTCCAATCATTTCTCTGCTGAAAGAAAACCAGCATTCAGAAATCTAACTTAGATTCTCTTATGTCTTGTTTTGGAATCTTAGGAGGGGGAACAAAAGTATCCTTCCCATTGCAAACTTTGTTGTTGTGTGTCATCAAATCAATTCCAGTTCCTTTTGACCTTGTGTCTCCAGGACTCCTTATGGAACCTTTATAACAGTAGAAACAGACTCTTCCAACTCCAGGTTTGGGTGATTGCGCTCCTGGCCCATCATTTTCTAGATAGGCAGGTTTCTAATATGACTGAAGAAAGAGATTTGAGGGAGAGAAGAGTAGGATTTATTTGGGGGGAATGGTGAGTTTCCATGATATGAGAATCCTAGCAGGAATGAAGTAAAATTGAGTTGATGTTTCTGGAACCAACCAAGGAGTGCATAAGAGAACAGAGAGAAACTGTTGTGATAGAGCAGGGGTGTCAAACTGATGGCCCCCAGTACACATGCGGGCCCTGAGGTAATTTAAAAAAAAAACAACTACATCCTTTAATGGCAGTAATACAATTATCGGATTAAGAGACCACAGGAGGGGGGCAGGTTATGCTCGGGAAGACAGGTGTGGAGTACAAAAAGTGGGGGGGGGGGAGCGGAGTCGAGTCATGCGGGGACCATTGTAAAAATACAGTACATTATATACATATTTGCACCATCAACTTTCAACTCTGAAATCGTATTTACATGTTTGTTACAATCCTGGTTAGACAACAGTTTTTCGTTAAGAGCTCCGGCTTGATGGTGAATGGAAACCACAGGTGAATTCATAGTCCCATGAGGTTCGTTAGACTAAATATTCTGAGGGGGGGGGGCGGGAATCCAACTTCTAATTCATCCATAGATTGCAGTTTTTAAATTTTTTTGTTTTTTTTAAAGAGTATTTAATTTTTCTTTTACGAAAGAAAAATCTCAGATTGGGGCGGGGTGAGGGAGCGTGGGGAAGGTGTTGGTAGGGGAGGAGAGTGAAAACAAACAGCTGAGACCCCTACCACCACACAGATTCCCATTCTGCAAACCCCACGGCCGCCCGCGGCCCGCTCCAGGGCTGAGGTGGACAAAAAATCTCACTTATGATTGCATAAGGACGAAACAAAGCCCAACAAAACAAAACCCGCAACAGACAAGCAAACCTGATCCGGGTGGGGTGACCTGGGCCCTCTCTGCCCCCCCCCCTCCCCCCTACATTTGGGGAGCTGGTGCAAACACCTGGCTAGCCTCCACCAGAGGGGGACAGAGGGGATCTTCCAACTGTGGGACAAAGTATCCTCATCTGGTGGAGGGAAGGGGCAGTTATGGGGACTGCAGTGAGGGCTGGTCTCTCAGGGCGGGCCCTTAGTCCCCATTCCCAGCCCCCTGGGGCCTCTGACCCTGCTTGGAGGGCGGGCAGCCACACCCCCCAACATGGCATACCTCACTCACAGGCAAAGGTGGGGTGGAGGAAAAAATACTTTTCAAAAGGACCACCAGGTCTTCCTAGGTTGAGGGCCTGGGGGGTGGGGACGGCTACGCCACGGATCCCTGAGCTGCCTCCGGGGGGTGGGGGGGTGAGGCCTGGGGCCAACACCCCTGAGGCAATTTTTTGTGACCCGTGATACGCTGAAATAAAATGAAAATGGAAAAATTTGTTATGAAAAAAATAGCGCTTAGGGGAGATGGAGGCAATAGTGTACACACAATTCCTTTGTTAACCCTTTGTCTACTGAAGACGGGTATACACGTGGCCCAGTGCCTTTCCCGGGGGCCTGTGGATGTGTATAAACGTGCTGACTCAGTTCCGACCACGTTTGGAAGCGCTATGTCTGCCACTCTCAGTGTCATGTAATGTAAGCAGATCCCAATAGTGAAAAGGTTAAAAAGAGCACTCTGGGTTGTGCTGTTATGAATCGTACCTAGCGGCAGTGCTAGTTAACATTTTTAGAGGGAAGCCATTCCGATTGTGCATCACGTTTGGCAGCTGTCCCACATTTTGTGTTTTTTTTTAGTTACTTTGTTATAGTTTTCGGTCACAACATAAGAGGTAAGTGAAAACTAGTAGGAGGAAAGCACTGGCAAGTTTCGGGGAAAAAAATTTTAGTTTTATGAATACATTAAATAAAATAAATGTTTAAGTAAAAGCAATTATATAGTATTTTAATTATCCTACCCATATTCCTGAATCATCACTTCAAAATATAAATTTAACAAAATTTGTAAATGTGATGTGGCCTGCGTGAATATTGCCTGTTGCACCACATGGCCCGAGTTTTCATTGAGTTTGATACCCCTGCGATAGAGCTTTCCTTTATATTCCATAGCTTGTTTTCTCCTCTTCCTTCCCTGGCTTATCTTTTCATTCATTGTAATGTTATCTACTATTTATATATCACTTACTGGGTTAGTAGGCACACATATGCTACTAGTAATCAGTAAATCCAGGTTTTCTGACTTCAGCTGCAGGGTACCCTTTGCCACAATTGTCTCTGCTATCCTAATAGCACAACACTACGAAGGGAACTCTAGAGTGGCAACATCTGGAAAGAAAGTGGACTTTGGTTTTGTGTGTCTGCTGTTTAACTCATGCTGTTTTCTTGGGAACTGCTTTTACTGAACACAAATCTGCTTTCCCATAACATTACTCCTAGTTGTGTCCTCAATAATGTGCTCCCTATTCCATATGAATACTTTTTATAAATTGGAAGACTACTATCATAGTCCTGCTAAATATTTTTTTTAATCCTGTAGCCATTCTTCAAGTGACATAATCTCGAAGTCCCTCACCCATACTATTGTCCAACCTTGAGATGTTATACCCAGGCTGGAATTCAATGTTCCACATATGTTTTAACCAGCACAGAATATAATGGCAATGTTAAAGAGCTCAAGATACTTGGTTCCTTAATATAATTTAAGATAGCAATTACTTCATGCCATCAGTTCATAATGAATTTTGAGCTCCCCCAAACACTAGATTGTCTACTTGGTGTGGATTTGTGTTTGCCCCTGTGAATCCCATTGAACCAAATTTCAATAGTGGTTATTTTTTCATTGTCTCTGTACCCGTATATGTGATTCTCTCTCTCTTCTGGCTTACCTGCCACTTTACCACTTTGTTCTCCTCACCCTTCCTTCTTTGTGGCCCTTAGTCATCTGCCCTCAAACAGGTGGATTGACACGGTGGCTGCAACCGTGAGCTTCAGCTTAGAGACGATTGTAAGGATGACACAGGACCGAGCAGTGGTTTTCCAATTGTGCATAGGGTCACCAGGGGTCAGAGCTGACTCGATGGCACCTAAAAGAACAACATTCATCTGCCTTTCCCTTCACAACTGCTTTGCCTTCACCATTGCTTTGCCTTCGGGTTTGATCGGTGACATTTTTATATCTGTACGCATCATCTCATCAGCATATAAATAATAGTGTTTACTGTGACAGGTCTAGAGGAACTGATCTCTAGGGAATGAGAGGGTGCAGAGCCAGTCCCTGAGGAAAGCCGCCAGCTTTGGTCACAGAGGAAAGAGCTCCGTGGTATAGTGGGTTCTGAGTCAGTTTGCTAACTGCAAGGGCAGCAGTTCAAACCCACCAGCTGTTCAGTGGCAGGAAAATGAAGCTGCCTGCTCTCATAAAGATTTACAGCCTCAGAAACCCACAGAGCAGTTGCTCTGTCCTGTAATTGTCAGGATGGCAGTGAATATTGCCGTTACTACTTGGTTTTGTAGAGGAGGAATCTTCAAGAAGACAGAAGGAGCAGCTAGAGACATAGGAGAGTGTCTCAACAAGGGTTAGTCAGCAATGGCGAATGTTCCTGAGAGGTCAAGTAAGGTGAGGGTTGATACGTGACCTTTATATTTAACATAGCGGTGGATGATGAGCTTAGCAACCATGGTTCTGTGGAGTGTTGGGGGCAAAAGCCCTATTCCTAGTAAGCTGAAGAATTCAAAGGAGGTAGAAAAGCAGAGATGATATGTGTGTAGAATGACTTTAACAAAGGAAGCAGTACCTGTTAGGGGATACAGGGTCATGGGAGGCTTCTAGGATCAAGGGAGCTAATGTGTGGGAAAGCGATTAGGAGAAACAGTTAATTGCTACATCTCTAGAAAGAGAAATCCAGAAAGAAGATAGCTAAGGACATAACCCTGAAGAAGACTCTCATTCAGACAATGGAATGAAGAAGAGATACAAAGAAGAGTTCAGTGCAAGAAACAGACGAGTGCCTGTTCTGCCCTGAGTATGAGTCTTATGATCCTCTGTGTTGGGTTTCCAAGAAGGAACCGGCATGTTCCCTGACCTCAAACTGTGAATCCTGCTTTTAGAAAGGCTTGCTTTAAATACAGATTCCAGGGCCCCTTGTCAGGCCTATTGGACCCGAATTTCAGGGGATATTGCCAAGAATTTGACTTTTTAACAAAATGACTCTCATCCTGACACCTAAGGTAACTCATCCTCACACCAAAGTGAAGAAGTAGTCTGTCGGGGGGAAATTGAGCATGTTAAATAATCTTAAGTTAATGTTGTATTATTTTAGTAATGTTATAAAGGATCTTAATATAACTCATAAAATCATTCCACTTTTGTGGAAGATTTTGGTTATTTTACGTTGGTTTCTACTATAGGTCAATTCCTTATGTTAGTAGCAATATACAATATAAGGGGAAGAGCATAGATTCTAGAACCATTGTGCCTGGGTTAAAACCCCAGCTTGTACACTTAACCTAATTCTTATGACGTGGCCCTTCTCAGTAATCACCCTCATAGAGAGATCACTGAAGATATAGGTGCTACAGCAAAGTGTGTTGAAGAATCAGATGGTGCCCAGCTATCAGAAAGAATAGCGACTGGGGTCTTAAAGGGTTGTCTCAAAACAAGCAGCCATCTAAGTGAGGCATCAACTAAATCCACATGGAAGAAACATAACAGCCTGTGTGATCCAAGGATTATAAAGAGTAAAATCTAAATCCAGAGGAAAGAATGGTATCAAACTTAAATTCTGGGCATCCAGTTGCAGAATGCTATGGATGGCATTAAAAGCCCAAAATCCACTTGCAGGTCCTCCCTGAGGATTAAGCCTTTGGCCTTGGTCTTGCTATCAGAGAGAAACCATGAAGTTGATTATGGCAGATGCAATTAGACTAAAATATAACACTTTATCATTTGATCATCCTTTTGACCCATTTGAAATGTGTTCTAGTTTTACTGCTTGCTTTTCTATCGAAGTTTTTCTCTGCATGATTTTGTTACTGTTGTTGAAGGGTTTTGTTTTGTGTGATTTTTCTGTATATGACATCTAGGATAGGCAATCTATACAGGGAGTAACTCGGCTGTGGGGAAGTGGGGTGCTAACAACAATAACTGTAAGAATGAAGTAAGTATTCTAAAATTGATTCTGTGATGATTGCACAACTCTTTGTAACGTTATTAAATTGTAGGATATGTGAATTATATACCAGTTTTTAAAATCCCAGCTTGATGACTCACTAACTATATAATTTTGGGAAAATTATTAAATTCATCTGTGCTTTAGCATCCTTAACTATAATATATGTATCATAATAGTATATTATTGAATTATGAGGATGGCATAAGTTAGTAATTATGAACTGCTTAAACAGGTTAGGATTTACAACACGTATTTTGAGGAGACTGTAGTTCAATACATGACACTGAGTTAAAAACTGAAGACATCTCTATGTCCCTTTGCTAAATTTGGTCATTTATTGCTTTTCAAAAGAGTTATATCAGTTTGTGCTATATAGTTTGTGAATGCAATCTACTAGTGAAATATGCATACGTGTGATGTCTCTGTACATAAACTGAAGTCCCGAGGTGGCGTGAATGGTTAGGTGCTTGGCTGCGCTATTAACCCAAAGATTGGTGGATCAAACCCACCCAGAGACAATTCAGTAGTAAGGCCTCATGAGGGTGGGGGGAGGGGAAAAGAAGGGGAAAAAAGAGGAGCTGATACCAAGGGCTCAAGTAGAAAGTAAATGTTTAGAAAATAATGATGACAACATATGTACAAATATGCTTGATACAATTGATGTATGGATTGTTAAAAGAGCTGTAAGAGCCCCCAATAACATGATCTTGTAATAATAAATAAATAATCAAGTCAGGGCAAGATATAGAGCACATATTTTAAAGAAAGTAAGGAGGCTACTAAAAAAGAAGAAGAAGAAGTAAGGCCTGGCGGACTACTCCCCAAAGGTCTGCTCCGAACACAAGGGGTCACCATGAGTCAGAGTTGACTATAGGATCTAACAGTCACAAATATGCATACATGTCCAGCTTATGTTTGTAACTTTGTTGAAGACAGACTTGACTTTTAAGCTTTTTTAAGGTTATTTAAAGTTTAATGTTAGAGCACTTTGTTCAATACCATCTGCTGGTAATGTTAATAAACACTAGCATTTGCTTTTGAAAGAGAATGTCAAATATCCTAAACTTTATGTGTGTTTTTCCTTTCGGTAGATTGAAGCCATGGCCATTCTATTTGCTGTTGTTGCCAGGGGAACCACTATCCTTGCTAAACATGCGTGGTGTGGAGGCAACTTCCTGGAGGTGACAGAGCAGATTCTGGCTAAGATACCCTCTGAAAATAACAAGCTCACGTACTCACATGGCAAGTGAGTTCTACTCTTTATGTAGTAAAACGTGCTGGGTCAGCTCACAGAACAGTAGATTCCCGGTTTTAGAAAACATGTTTTTGTTGATTATATATTTAACTTATAATTCTTAAATTCTATCACTGAGATGATTGTTTATCTTAATGAAAGACACAGAAATGTCACATGTAAAACTTATTTTGCTAAAGTTTATAGGCTATGCGAAACTTGATACAAGTAAGATAGATAATATTCCTTTGTTCATTCCTAAACATGTACTGGGGACTTTGCCCTCATAGAAGTTAAAGTTTAGTGAGAGACACTATCAAATCCTAGATAATTATAGTAGAGGGTGGAAAATAATGCTTAGGGGGATAGAATCCCAGGTAGAAGGAACAGCAAATAGAGGAGGATGACGAAATGAGATTACAGGACCCATTTAGGGAAATGCAGTTGTTCTCTGCAGCTAGTGCCCAGGTTGGAGTGTGTGTTGTAGATGTATATGGAGAAGTCATAAGAGGCTGGCCTTAATCTTGAAGACAGTGGGAAGGCACTGAAGGTTCTCAACCAGTGTGACAAGGTCAGGTTTTGCTTTGGTACCTCACGGATAATGGCATAGATGTAAAACCTTGTTAACTAGATAAAAAGTACCTCAGTTTTCCTCATCCTTAATTAAAAGTGTATTACTTATCTTATCCTTATTTCCTTGCTGCTTCTTTCAGAAGAAAGCCCTTCTTACTTTCTAGAGCTAGCATGTTTTGCATATTGCTAGCATGTTATGTATGTTAGAGTGAAGTCTGAGCGAAGCAGCTTGGGGCTAGTCGGGTTGCTCTGCCCTTCTCAGTCAGTAGCTTTATTTACAGGGACAGGGGTAAAGACTGCCGCACGTATTTTGTGGAGATACAATTCAGTCCATATCAGGAAACCACACAGATTTCTCAGCCAAACTATGGGTTGAGACAGAAGCAGCACACTATTTTCTTTAATACCACATGCCTTTATCAATTTTATTGACTTAGTCTGTACTGCCTCTGTTTGTTTGTTTCCGTGGGTTTTTTTTATGAACCACAATACATGAATCGTTAACTTGTACAGATTAAACTTTTAAGTGACTAGACACTATTTACACAAACAATTGGGGTTAGTGATAGGGCAAAACTTTCAGTAACATTCACAAGGCAGAACCATGCCTGCCAGATTGATACAGGTCATAATAAATAAGAAGGGCATTAAAATAGTAAATATATGGTATTCCTGGGCCACTAGTTATTGGACACCCTCAAGGTAAGAGATACAAAGTCCAACAAACGCCAATTCCATAACCTTGGGATAGCAATCAATTACTTCTTCTCACACTGTTCAAGGGCTACAGGTGAGTTTTAGGTACAGCCCAGTTCACTTAGTGGGGTTTTCACATAGAGTTCTTCTGATTTGGCTTATGAAGGATGTGGAACACATCGTTTTTCAAGTGTTAACTAATAGCCTGGAATTTGGTATCAAATATCCTTAGGAATAAAGATGAAATAAATACCTCCCTGGATGAAAGAAAACTAAGAGAATTCAAGACCAAAATCAAATGACCTGTTTTAAAAGAATTAATAAAAAGTTGTTATTCAGACAGAGATAAGTGGTACCAGAAGAAAACTTGGACTATCAGGAATGAAATTTTTAAAAGTAATATAAGTGATAAATATAATAGACTATTCTCTATTGAGTTCTTTATAATGTGTGATTATTGAAAGCAGAGATTATAAAAAGATTTGTAGGATTTTCAATGTGTGTAAATATAATATTCAAGATAATGATAGCATAAAGGTGAAGAAATAAAGGAACCTATATGGTAGTCAGAGTCTATATGCTAATCAAAGTTGTAAAATAATGATTACAAAAAGAAAATGAAAACTTAAACATGTATTTGATACTCCAAAAATATTACGCAGAGATATACTGAAAAGTCATAATGGAATATTTTAAATGTTAAAAATATGGTTGACCTAAATCTAATATTAAGCATACTGATTGTCAAATTAAATTTGAAAATAACATAACTCAAATGTATTCTGTCTATAAGAAACTAAGCATCCCAAGTGTTCTTCAGTGGTTAGCTGGATCAATGATGGTACATCCATACAGTGGAACATTATAAAAGAACAACCTATTGATACCATATCGAAACTTGAATGATTCTCAAAGGCTCATTATATTGAGTTAAAGAAATCCGTGACAAAAGTTTCCACACTAATTGCATTTATATGGAAATCTGGAAAGACCAAACTATAGGGCTGGAGACTAGATCAGTGGTTTCCAGGGGTTGAGGGTACAGAGGAGGATGTGATCTTTAAGAGATAGCACGAAGAAGAGTTGGGGTGGAATGGAACGAACTGATGATAGTGGTTTGTCACTAGTCAGCCCTGATCTTCCTTGATCTCTCGGTTAGCTTTCCACTTACTCTTCCTGCTGGAAACTGCACTGGTCTCCAGAACCCTATCTCTACCCCTTCCCCTACCCCTCTGGGTGCTCCTTATTCACCCTGGCTCAGACTTCTGTTCTCTGTAGAGATTCTTCCTGGATCATCTCATCTATTCTCCATGGCTAACATTATTAGCTAGATGTAATGACTCATATTTTAATCTTTTCCATTTTTTTTTGCTATCTTACTCCCATTCTTCATCTCCAGAGTTCTTAAAAAAAATAATAAAAGGAGCCAATCCTTCTCACTTCCATCCCAACCATTGTAATGAAACTATTTTCACTGAATGTTCACTTCCAATTGTATTTTCTAAGCCTCTCTTTGGTAATGTATAACATATCAATGTTACTAAAATGCTGCTACATACACATCATGGGTGCTTCAAACTGGATCTGTGCAAAATGAGGTGTATCACCTACTCCCTGAAATCTGATCTTGCTATTCCTTTCTTCTTTAACAGGCTCATCACTACTCCATACAACTTCCGAATCATAGTGACTTCATCAAATCCTTGACATTCTCCTTTAAAAGATTTTTCAATGCATTCCTCCTTCTTAGCTATCTGTTACTTCACTTTCCCGCCTCTTGTTTCTTCCTCCTTTTATATGTATTTCCAGTTCCTTTAATATTGCTTACTTGTTTAAAACCTATTGCTTTTAGAATAGTGCTCACCACCTTCACAGTTTAGTTCACTCCTTGCCTTTCTAACCTTATCTCCATAGTCCTATTTTCTCTGGACTTGCTATGTGATTTCAGACTTTGATACTTTTCTTTTTTTAATACTTAACTTTTTATCTGACCTTGTCTTCCTGAACTTAGAAACCTCCTCTGAACTTCACCACTAGGTCTTATGCCCTGTTCTCTTGTGTCTCCATAACATCTTTTGCCTCTTCATATCACAATGTCACAACTTCAGTCTTCATTGTTTATTTCTCTCTGTAACTGTAGTCTCCAAGGTTGGCTTAGTAGAAACAAACTTTGTGAGACTGATAATTGCCTTCATTTTTCACATACTGTGTTTAAGTTGACTGTGCTACCTCTCATAGTCGTGTATCCAGGCATGAAACTCAGGAGACAGGTCAGAGCTCGATTTGGGAATCATTGTGATAGCTGGAAATAAAACAGAAGCTCAGCGACAAAGCAGGAGAATGAATGCTGCCCTCCAAGGAGTTTGTGGGTAAACAGCAGGGGGCTGAGGACTGAGAAAAAAGATGATAGAAACCAGGAGAGCAGAGTGTCAATAAATTCTGGGAAAATACTGACCAGAAAAAGGAAATGTACAACACTATCAAATGTTTGAGAGCGAACCATTGAATACTCATTGGTAGACACAGTTTCAGAATAGCAGAGAAGGACATTATGACTAAGTTCACATATTTCCATATAATTCAAGCCAGAAACTAGGGAGGCAAAATTGAGCCTTTGCCTCACCCTCAGGGACCAATCCACAAATTCTAAATTATTTCCTATCTCTTCTTTCTCCACTTCTTCACCACTCATGCTACCCTTAGTTTATTTATCTCATCATTTCTTACCCGTCTCACTTCAGGAGGCTTCTGTCTGGTCCTCCTTTCAATGCTTTTGTTTTAACAGTTTTATTTACATTTGAATCGTTCACTCATATTAAAACAGAGGTGCATAATCATCACCACAATCAAGTTTAGGACATTTCTTCTTCCTGTACTTGTTTTGCTCCCCATTTCCGCGCAGCCTCCCCTGAAACTCTGCTGACTCATAGTGATACTAGGAAGCTATTAAGGTAGTTATTCCCTCTATAGACTTACCTATCCTGGATTTCACATACAGAAAAACAGTACAAAATCAAAACAAACGCACAATACAACCCGACAATAGTGACAGAAGAAAGCAGAAAATACTAGAAAGTGTGGAGTTTCTAAACTATAAATCTTTATGGGAGTAAAACTTTCTCGTCTTTCTCCTGTAGAACTCCTGGTGGTTTCAAACTGCTGACCTTGTAGTTAGCCCAACATGTAACCCATTAACCCACTACACCACCAGGACTCCGGTAAAGGTGCCAGAGCACCCTTTTTTAGTGCAAATCTTATCACATACTCCTCAAGCTAAAACCCTTCAATGCATCGTCATTGTTCTTAGGGCAGCGGTTCTCAACCTGTGGGTCGCGACCCCTTTTGGGGTTCAACGACCCTTTCACAGGGGTCACCTAAGACCATCGGAAATATGTGTTTTCCGATGGTCTTAGGAACTGAGACACCCCCCTCTATGGTCTCCAGGCGGGTCCGTCCACATGCAGATACACCCACATACGAGTACCCAGTGTGAAGACTGTTACCCATGCTACACCATGCTTAAGACAAAATTTCATTTATTTGTTATTAGAAATAAATAGTTCACAATGTTTAATCACATATTGTTTTTGTGATTAATCACTATGCTTTAATGATGTTCCATTTGTAGCAATGAAAATACATCCTGCTTATCAGATATTTACATGACGATTCATAACAGTAGCAAAATGACAATGATGAAGTAGCAATGAAAATAATATTATGGTTGGGGTCACCACAACACGAGTAACTGTATTACAGGGTCGCAGCATGAGGAAGGCTGAGAACCACTGTCTTAGGGAATGTACAAGGTAGTTTATAACATCTTTATAATAGCATTTACTTCTCTAGTCTGGAATTAATTTGTACCGTATGTTGCACACTAATTTTCAGTGTCGTAAACTCGTGTGTTCCTTGTTATCTCTAGGCGTTTGCGTTTACTGGTCCTTCCTCTGGAATATTTCTCACTCACTCTCAATTTGGTCATTCTTCAGGTCTCAGCTCAGACCAGTTTGAGGAAATCTTTCCTGTTACCAAACCCCTGTGTCCCTCTGTTGTGTCCCTGTAGTACAAAGTACGGCTGCATTGTAATTCTCTGCACTCTGACCCCTGTGAAGGGAGGGATTGCGGGTCTGTTTGTATCTTCAACACTTAATATGGTAACTGGCCCAAGTTGGATACTCAAGTAAATCCTGTTGGGTATTCAGCTGGACAGGTGTTTGCTTTAAGATCTCAGGAAAAAATTAATGTGGCCCATTGGAATTTAATCTTATTACATGTCTCTTTTTAGATGCCATTTCTTGTTTAAGTCTTAAGAGTCTAATTACACTTTCCAACTATCATTATATTGGGGAATACCAATGCAGTTGTACTATATAACTAGAGTAGAGACCTTTTAGTTTCTTATTTCCTGCTATTCATGTGACTTGAAAAAAATAGTGTAAAATGCGGGGGAGGGCTAAGCTATGTAAATAATGTGCTGACCTTGGTGGTACTGAATTTGCTTATATAGAAGTAAAAGAAATATTGCTGATAACCACACTAAGTTTTATGTCTTTTACTCTACAGTTATCTGTTTCATTACATCTGCCAAGACAGAATTGTATATCTCTGTATCACTGATGACGTAAGTAATGTGAATACACATCTGTTCTTAATGTGGTACAGAAGTTAACTGCAAGGTCAGCGGTTGAACATGTACACCCTTGGAAACCTTGCGGGACAGCCACTCTCCTAGAGGGTGCTAGGAGTAAGGATCGCTTTGGTGGTAGGAGTTTGGTGTGGTTCTCTTATGAATGTTAAAAGTATTGTGGGTAGTTGAAAATTTTTTTATATCGAGAAGCAAGTGAAAAGTTTACGTTTGGACATATGAAAATTAATCTTGCAACGTCTACATTTGTCCTATGTAGTGAGAATTGGTGTTCATAATTTTGATTATTTGGTATCAAATCCTCTCAGAAATAATGTTTACTTGGAATATGAAATCCATCATTTCATTCCTTCAGTCCATAGCTAATAAAGATTTTAAAGTATGCGAACTTTGAAAAGGAAAAGCACAATACATTACAATTGGCTATGTAAACCTGAAATTTGTTGATGAGGTTTTTGACTGTTTTTAAGGCACTAGACAGACAATGCTCAGCAACTTAATTATATTATCAAGCTGCTTTCTCTCTTCTGCTATCTTCAGTATCAACTTCATCCTCATGTTATTGCAGGGAGTGACATGCTTTATGTCTACAGAGGAGTGACTGCGTCTTCGTGAGTCTCCTCTCACAGGAATGAGGAAACTAACCAGAAGCACTCACTCCCCCTCACCCCCTGCTTTCAAAGCCAACATCATTGCAAGTTTACTTGTCTAGGACTACTTCACACGCTGATTTCTAAACAGGCCACTGACAGAGGATGGAATTCGCGTTATCAGTTATACCAGTCAGGGTTCTTAGCCTGCTTTATGTTACGAATTCTTTTAGCACCATGATTCCCTTTCAGAATATTTTTAAGTGTATAAAATAAAACACAAGTTTAATAAGAAAATGAATTATATTGGAAAAGAGGACTCAAAATATTTAAAAGTTAATCCAGTAATATATAAGATTTTAATTCTATTAAATAGCAAGATCTGGTCATAGGTATAATAACTACAGTAATTTTTAAATAGGGATGAATGTAAATGATATTTTGAGATACCTATAACTGATCAACCTCTAAATTCAGGAGTTGGGGGATCACATTATTATTTTCAACATTTTTTTTTAATTTTGTAAATGGTAAAATTTTTATTCCTGTTTCCAGTGATCATATACAGAGTTCTTTATTTTTTAAATCATTTTATTGGGGGGGCTCGTACAATTCTAATTACAATTCATACATACATCCATTGTGTCCAGCACATTTGTACATTTGTTGCCATCATCATTCTCAAAACATTTGCTTTTTACTTCAGCCCTTGATATCAGCTCCTCATTTTTCCCCGTCCCTCCCCGCTCTACTCTCTCTTCCTCCTCATTCATTTACTCCTGTGTGCTCTGATCAGACATGTCCCTCTCCCCGAGCTGCAGCTTCAGTGCCGTCCTCTAAAGTAAATTCTTCTTGGGAGAGGGATGGTTGACCACGTAGCTGGTATGGGGGCTGAGCCCTCAGGCCCCTCCACTGGCTCCCCTCTCCATGCCGGCACGGTGCATTCACATCCTGGAACACAGGATTTAAGTCTGGTCCCTCTTTCCCTGTGGAGACACAAACATTAGCCTTCCCTTGGGTGGGTCAGTGCCCTATTCCCTGCCACACATCTCTTTTTTTTCCCTCCCCCCACCCCCCTTTTTAGTTGGCTACCATATGTATCCCTGGATTTGTGTAGGATGGTGGGGAATTAGATGTAGGTGCATATATTTATAGGTATAGTATTAAGGCAGCAGATGGACATTGGACCTCATAATGGGATCAGCCATATTGTCCACTCTGTGCATTGGCTGTTGTGCATTGGCTTTTCGGAGCAGGAATATCGTCCTCCAAGCCTGGTGGGCCAGGATGTGCTCCACTCTCTCTTCCTCCTCATTCATTTGCTCCTGTGTGCTCTGATCAGACATGTCCCTCTCCCCGAGCTGCAGCTTCAGTGGCGTCCTCTAAAGTAAATTCTTCTGCGGGGAGGGACAGTTGACCACGTAGCTGGTATGGGGGCTGAGCCCTCAGGCCCCTCCACTGGCTCCCCTCTCCATATGTATCCCTGGATTTGTTCTGGCCCCTGCCATTCTACCTGGACCCCACTCCTGGAGTGTTTGTATACAGTAGCTTGTTCCCTATGCCCCTTTTGCATTTTTTTAAAGCTTACCTCAGTGGACTCATGTTATACGTGTCCTTTTGTGCTTGGCTTACTTCACTTAGAATAATTTCCTCCAGTTGTTTCCATGCGGGGATGTGCTTCATGCGTTCATTACTGCTTTTTAGCAATGCATAGTACTCCGTTTTATGTATTTTATGTGTTTTAATACATTCGTCTCTTGATGGGAATTTGGGTTGTTTCCAACTCCTTGCAATTGTGAACTGTGCTGCGATGAACATTAAAGCACAGATGTCTGGCCATGGTTTGTTTCTTGCCTCTTCTGGGTATATGCCCAGTAGGGTGATTGCTGGGTCATATGGTAGCTCAATTTCCATCTGTTTTAGAAATCTCCAAATCGATTTCCATAGTGGCTGTACATACCTACAGGTCCACCAGCAGTGGATGAGAGTTTCTATCTCAGCACAGCCCCTCCAACACTGGTTGCTTTCTGATTTTTTTAATTTGGCTGTTTTTGAGGGTGCTAGGTGGTATCTCATAGTTGTTTTGATTTGCATTTCTCTTATGGCTAATGATTGGGAACATTTTCTCATATGGTTATTGGCCATTCAAATTTCAGACTCTGTGAAACTTCTATTCAGGTCCTTTTCCCACATCCTCAGTGGGCAGTTAGTTTTTCTCTTATTCTAAGCTTGCAAAGTACTGTAGATTTTAGTAATAAGTAAGGCCTTTGTCTGATGTGTCATTGATAAAGATGTTTTCCCAGTTGGTGGACTCACTTTTTGCTCTCTTGGTAAATTATTTTGATGTACATAGGTGTCTTATCTTCAGTATACCCCACTTGTCTATTTGTGACTCCTCTGTATTTGTATCCTTCCCTATTTCCGATAGACTATGTATTCCCTGTGCCAAGGTTCTTAGGTTTGTCCCAATTCCCTCATTAATGGCCCTAATTGTTTGGGGTTTTACCTCAAGGTATGTGATCCACCTTGAGTTTATTCTTGTGCATGCAGTAAGGTAAGGGTTTTGCTTCATTTTTCTGCAGGTAGATATCCATTTTTTTCCAGCACCATTTATTGAAGAGGGAATCTGCTTCCCATTTGATATTTTTGCGCCCTTATCAAAGATCTGTTGCCTGTATGCTGATGTTTTTATTTCTGGGTCTTCAGCTCTTTTCCATTGGTCTGAATATCTGTCGTTATACCAGTACCACACTGTTTTGACTACTGTGGCCGTATAGTATGTGCTAAAGTCAGGTAGAGCAAGCCCTTTCACTTTGTCCTTCTTCTTGAGGAGTTTTCTGCTAATTTTAGGCTTCTTCCCCCTGAATAGGAAGTTGGTTATTTTCACCAATCTTTAACTTACATTTCCATTGTGGATAAAAACCAAAGTAGTATTAAATAGTATTCATGACTTTGTAATGAATAGAAATCGTCTCAGGTGAGACCAGTCCCTAGAGAAGGACATCATATTTGGTAAAGTGGAGGGACAGCGAAAAAGAAGAAGGCCTTGGTAATGGGCATGAGCGCAGGAACAATTTGTGAGGAAGGCTCAGGACTGGGCAGTGTTTCTTTCTCTTGTACATAGGGTTGCTATGAGTAGATACCAAGTCCACAGCACTGAACAACAACATCACGATGGTATATGAAAAAAGATTTTCTCGTATCCTTCCGTTTGCTTTAGCTACTCTGATTAATAGCAAATTTCAGTCTCTTCTGACATCCTTAGAGCTTTTCTTTCTTTTGAATGACCTTCTTGCCGTCTTCCCACAGCTCATCAGTGTTCCATGCATCAAATCTGTTCTTGAGATGTTCTCAAAATTCAGGTGGGATAGACTCAAGGTCATATTTTGGCTCTTGTGGACTTGTTTTAATTTTCTTAAGCTTTCCCCTGAACAACTGATGTTCCGTTCCACAGTCAGTCCCTGGTCTGTTTTTAGCTGCTGATATTGAGCTTCTCCATCTTGTCTTCCCACAGAGTAGTCAATTTGATTTCTGTGTCTTCCATCTGGAAAATTCTATGTGTTTAGCTGCCATGTATGTTGTTTAAAAAAAGTATTTGCTGTGAATATGTCGTTGGTCTTGCAAAATTCTATCATACGAACTTCAGAATGATTGTATCACTGAGTTCATATTTCCCAACTACTGTTCCTTCCTCTTTGTTTCCAACTTTTGCGTTCCAATTACCAGTAATTATAAATGTGTGTTTGATCCATTTCCAACTGAAGACATTAACAAAATTCTTCTTTTATGGTTGGTGCATATATTTCATTAAGAATTGTATTGATTGGATTTCCTTGAAGGGAAAGAGATATAATGCTATCACACAGTATTGTGTTTCGTGATTCATTTTGCAGTGTCCTTTTTGACAAGTGAATACCACACCAGTGAGTCAACCAAAATTATCACAATGGCATCCCAGTTTCATAGTATTTTCTGGAATTAGGGGGGGGGAAACAGCTTTATCTGAAATGACTCAAATATGAAAGGGTTTAGAGCCTATGAGAAGTATTGCTAAGCCTAGGACAGTCAGATTTGAATGTTAAATTTCTTTTGCTGTAATTTACTACTGCTGTTGCTGTGTGTGCATGTCTAAAATTTCTGTCTGGAATTAGACAGTGTCACTTGATTTTTATAGGTACTACTCCTATTGAACAAATCGTGTTCATCTCAGTAGCATTATCTTTGAATGTGAAAGATTACTGCTCTGGGTGTATGGAGTGTCTTCTTATGTTAGACCTTCTCATGGATCCTGTGGAGCATGTGGAAGAAGTAAAGACCCCAATCCTTGCCCTTAAGAAGCTGATAACCTAGACACCTTTATATTCAGTTGGCAATAATCAGACATACCAAATTTGAATCTTAGCTCTTCCACTCACTGGTTATTTGCCTTAGGCAAGTTACTTAGCTCTTTAGAGCCTTGGTTGCCTTATCTGTAAAACAGAGCAAATGGTATTTCCAACATCATAGAGCCATTATTTAATAAACAGCTGTTTCTATTGTTGCTAATTATTAACTCATCTTTTATTTACTTTCAAAATGTGAACTCTATGTTGGCCTTTTTCCCAGGATTTTGAACGTTCTCGAGCCTTTACTTTTCTGAATGAGATAAAAAAGAGGTTCCAAACTACGTATGGTTCAAGAGCACAGACAGCACTTCCATATGCCATGAATGGCGAGTTCTCGAGTGTCTTGGCTGCACAACTGGTAAGGAGGTCTTTCTCAAGATAAAATATTTTGATTTATATTTTCCTTTTTTTGACTTAAAGTACAATGCATATAGAGGATCTTTACCTGTTACAAGCCTTTCTAATAGTGTTACTTACTGTCTTTGGCTAGATAAATATAAATCCATCTATCTATCCACCCACCCTCTCTCATTGGGTCAATCCCAATTCATAGTGACCGTATATAGGGTTTCCAATGCTGGAAATCTTTACGAGAGCAGACAGCTTTATCTTTCTCCTACAGAGGAGATGGTGGATTTGAACTGATGACCTGTGGTTAGCAGTCCAATGCATAGCCAAATACATAGAGAGAGAACTTTACTTCAAGAAAATGTCTCATTTACTTGTGAAGCCTGGCAAGTCCCAAGTCCATGGGTCAGGCATCAGACGGAAGGTTTCTCCTGAGCCATGTGGTTGCGGAGGCTGATGAACCGAAAATCTGCAGGACAGTCAGCAATCTGCTGGCTCCAGCCTCAAAAAGCAGAAGTCAGATAGTAGTGACAAGTTAGATGAAGAATTGAAAGAGAGAGGGACTAGAGCATCCATATATCTATTGGATGCAGGTCACCCTCCCCCCCTCCCCAAGGGTGTGATACAGGATCAGGCAGTGTTTCATTCTGTTATACCACGAGTTGGAACCGACTTGACGGCATCTAACAACAACCACGCCCCCCTTTTCTTTCTCAGTTCTGGTTACATTTTTCTAATGAAGTGACATCTATCTTTTATATCAATAGGCATAAATTTATAGCATCCCTTAATGTAGATTGTCATTTCTCTTGTTTATTTTTAATTTCATATTGTAGATATCTAGGTGCCATAAGTTAAATCTTATTTTCTTATAGAAACATCACTCTGAGAATAAGGGCCTAGACAAAGTGGTGGAGACTCAAGCCCAAGTGGATGAACTAAAAGGGATCATGGTCAGAAACATAGGTACGTTTTATGGCATAGTCCACATGTCTTTGGGGTAAAATTCATGGTAGTAAATAACTTGATTTAGGGCAAATTATTCTAACCAAAAGCAAACTCCTTGCCATCGAGTCGATGCTAACTCATAGCAACCTATGAGTGGGTTTCTGCGATTCTAATTCTTTACAGGTGTAGGAAGCCCTGTCTTTCTCCTGAGGAAGCAGCTGGTGATTTGGAACTGCCAACCTTGTGGATTGCAGCCCAATGCATACCCTGAAACAGTATTTCCTTATTCTTACTTCTTACTGTTAGATTAGAAACAGTCTGCTGAGATATGGAGGTTATTTACTTCTGATGTTTACCTGTCTGAATGTTTTCTTTCTAGTACCTTATGATTGGTCATTTTAAATTTGTGAGCTTACTTAGCCAAATGAATCTCTCAGAACCTTAAAACAGTGAACCCTTTTAGAAGCATTTAGTACTTAGATAGGTGACATTATCAGTAGATACATAGTTTGAAGCTTTCTATTAGACCCAAACTCTGATGGGTTATATTTATCAAAATAATGACTGTGTTTCGAATTTCCACTTAATGAGCTTTTCTTGTTTTATCAAAAACCTATTTCACACTTTAAAATAGTCCATAAAAACACATCAAGTTTACTTTTTAACTGATTTTCTTAGTATTTCGATTTAAGCAACCCACTGCCATCAAGTTTATTTTGACTCATAGCAACTGTCTATAGGGTTTCCAAGACTAGAACTGTTAACAGGAGCAGGATAGCCTGCCTCATCTTTCTCCCTCAGATTAGATCATCAACCTTTTGATTAGCAGTACAATACTTATCCAATGGCCCCATCCCAGACCTACTGAATCAGAAAGTGTGTGGGAGGCCTAGGATTCTGTGAACCCCTTTAAAATATATCTTCCAAAAGAAACATCTCAGAGACAACTTCATATAAATTGAATAAAATAGTTATATAATTCCTTTGTAAGATATTTAATTGAGCCATTGTTAAATCTTATAGCTGTGTATTTATGATCTTAAACTTACCTCTTGTTATTTTTATATTTATTATAATAATTGCAAATCACAAAAATACATTAAAAATTTTTTTTAGTCTCACCACCCTACAAGAATCATTTCCATTTTTGTTCATTTTAATTTTCATACTCGTCTGTGTGTGTAGTTGTAGTCATAGTCTATTGTCAATTTTGTCTTTTTACACATTATTTGCTAAGGCTTTTGGAAGCAGTATAATATCGTGATCAGGATTTAAAATTATATGACCCTATAGTTTTTGTCATGAGTATGTTAGATCTCTCTCGTGGGAGAAATACCTAGGCCCTTGGCTTCGTGTGAGAATTCACGCTGTAGCCTGGTTTGTGATCCAAGTGAGTTTTGTGAAAGAAGAAGTTTCAGGTTTACACAGTCACCCTCAGGGCCCTTCACCGCCCCACAGCCTGCTGAGAAGCTCCTGGAGATACAAGAGTTACCAGAGTCACCGCGTGGGATCCGGATCCTGCCTTTTCAGTTCCTCCCCTGGGAGGCGTGGTCAACGATCCTGCCCAACCCCATTGGCTGAATTGAATTTACTTGGCCTAGATGGGGCCAATCCAGGTATAACACCCACCTAGGTGTACCACCCCTTCCTGACTGGGAGTTCGAACCTCTGAGCTTGCGGAATGGACACCCCAGTCCCTATGCTAGCTACCTAACAAATACACGAACAAATAGCTTTTAACCTTTGCACAAGTTTCTCACCTCTGTGAGCCTGATTTTTGAATCTGTGAAAAAAAATTATAGAACTCAAAGCTACCAGAGTAAAAGAGGTAATGTATGTAAAGCACTTTGATCTCTCTCTCTCTCTCTCTCTCTCTCATACACACACACACACACACACACAAACACAGAGCCATGGAGTCAATGCTGACTCATAGCATCTCTATAGGACAGAAGAAAACTGCCCCTGTTGGTTTCCGAGACTGTAACACTTTATGAGAGTAGAAAACCTCATCTTTCTCCTATGGAGCTACTGGTGGTTTCAAACTGCTGACCTTGTACTTAGCAGCCCAATACGTAAACACTATACCACCAGGGCTCCTTGTGCTTGGCACATAGTAAGAGTTTCATCATTGCTGTCTATTACTAATCTATAGGTCCACTTACTATTATATTTACTATTTATTTCATTGAGGTACAGTGAACCCTCGTTTATCGCAGTTAATCGGTTCTAGACCCTACCGTGATAAATGAAATTCCGCGAAGTAGGATTCCTTATTTGTAAATCAAATATTTTCGTAGTTAGAGCATAGAGGACATGAAAAAACACCCTTTAGTCACCATTACACTCGTATTACCCAATTTATTAAACGAAAAAGGGAAAATACAGTAAAACATTTTGGACGTTACAATTATCATTTATTATTTATTATATTATTTATGGCATCTAGTTTACAGTATTACATATTTCACATACAGTATTATTATACATAGTTCTTACAAATACTGTAATCAATAGCCTATGAAATGACTTAAGGGATGTACTCTACAGGTTGGTCGCCGTCTTTTTCCTCTGAAGGAGCGGATGTAGGCAGTGGGTGCTGTTACGCAAAAACCGCAATAGAGTGAAGCCGCGGAAGTTGAAGCACAAAGTGGCGAGGGTTCACTGTATAGCTTACCTAACCAGGCCCTTATTGGTGGACGGGTAGGTTCTTCAGAGAGTGTTACTCAGAGAGCTTTTAACTCAGCAACCAAATAAGAGACTTGCTCTAGAGTGCAAATCAAGGCTCTGTATCCTTCATTGATAACATTGTGCTGTGAAAGTGATGTCGATTGGGCTAAGGTGTGTGCTTAGACCAGTGGTTCTCAGCCTCCCTAATGCCGTGACCCTCTAATACAGTTCCTAATGTTATGGTGACCCTGTATGTGGGTGTATCTGCATGTGGGCGGACCTGCCTGGAGATGGATAGAGGAGCGGTGTCTCAGTTCCTAAGACCATCAGAAATATGTGTTTTCCAATGGTCTTAGGCAACCCCTGTGAAAGGGTCATTCGAAACACAAAGGGGTCGCAACCACCAGGTTGAGAACCTCTGGTTTAGCCACTTAGACGGACCAGTAACAAACACTTTAAGTAACATGGATTTGGAAGTTTTCATTACAATAGCAGTACTATTATAAATGTTTTCAGCCTAGTGTGTTTTTATTTTCTTGAGATTAATGCTCAGGCATGTGATCACAAAAAAAAAGACATAAAAAGAGGACGAAGAAGCATCAGGCGTAGGAGAAGGAAAGGGAGTGTGTGACTGTCTTGATGAACAGCTGCCGCCTTTGCCCTGAGACCAGAAGAATTGGGTGGTGCCTGGCTAGCATTACTGAACATTTCAATCAAAGATTCCATAGAAGAAACCTGATGAAAAGGGGAGGAAAAAAAGAACAGAATTTCAAAGTCTCATGGACTCCAGGTTTGGGGGAGTCACGGAGGCTGTATGAAGTCCTGAAACTATGCCCCCGTGATAAGCTTTAAACTATAAACCAAGAATATGCTGATGTTAACTTTAAACCAAACAGTTTAGCTTGATTCGTAAAGACAATCTACCTTGAACTTAGTGCTCTTTTAAGGACTCTTTATATGAGATCAAACTGACAACATCAACTCCAAATATTAGCTAGGATGCAGTAATGATGGGGGAAGAACTCCTCAAACAAATGCAGAATGAGCACAGTTGCACACTTTCCAGAATGAAATCAATGTCAGTGAATTGTGTATGTAGAATGGAAATGGTTTATATTTCAAAGACGAAAAGGCAGAGACATTTTTGATGGACTTAAGGCTATTTAAAGTGTTTTCCTTTTATTCATTTTATGTCTAGTTATGTCTAGAGCATAGGTTCCCAAACTCATGTACCAACCCCTTTTCAGAAAAATATGTACTTAGCACACACCCCCCAAATGACAAAGATTAGTGCCACAGTCCATCATCCAGGGTACAGTACAGACCTGTGTCCCCAGGGAAACACTGGTCCAGAGGGAAACTAGAGATTGTATTGAGAAGACTCTTTAAGATTTCCTTTTACTGGTTTTTGTTTTGTTGTTTTGGTGGGTCACCAAATGTATTTTTTAAATTTTGCATTAAAAAAAATGGCAGCCAACTACAATATTAGTGTGCCTATATGAAGTTCTCAGAAAATATCTTAAATAAACTCTTTTTAAATAACTTATTTTTAGAATTTTAAAAATAATTAATGAAAATGTAGCAAAAGCATTTCGAATCATTTCCTTTTGTTGTTGTTTTTTGAGATAATGCATACACTGTATAATTCACACAAAGTGCAGAATTTAATGGTTTTCATTATTCATGGAGTTGTGCATCTCCCCACAGTCAATTTTAGTAAAACATTTTCATCACCACAAAAGGAAACCTTGTATGTATTAACAGAGGAGCGGTGTCTCGGTTCCTAAGACCATTGGAAATATGTGTTTTCCGATGGTCTTAGGCAACCCCTGTGAAAGGGTCGTTGGACCCCACAGGGGTCACTACCAAGAGGTTGAGAACCACTATCTTAAAGGGAATAATTAGTCCCCTTTCAATCTCTAGATTTGCCTCTTGTGGACATTTCATTGTCCGGCTTTCACGTGCAGATGAGGTGACTGTACCAGGACTTGGGTCAGGTGCACCACAGCCCTCACGGTGACACCTTGGCTTTTAACACTTTAAAGATGAGAGGTCTTTTGCAGCAGACTTGTTCAGTGTACTTTCATTTGATATTTTGATTGCTGCTTGCATGGATATTGATTATGGGGTCAAGTAAAATGAAATCCTTGATAGTATGGAGCTGGAGGATGGCATGAAAAAGCCTGGTGGTCTGCCCGACTTGGCTTTGAGCTGGGGAAGGGGCAAGCAACCCCATGTTCTTGGCAGTGGTCAGGAATAGAGCTTCCTTCTTGCTGTGCTGCTGGGAGGGTAGGAGCAGATCATAGTTCACCTACCACAGATTGTGTTTGTGTTTTTTCACCATAACAAAAAAGTAGCCCTTTTACTGAGTCCATTTCAATATTTAAAATATACATGAGATTTTTTGAGACGAAGGCCCAATAATAACATGACAAAATCGTTTCTAAACAGTAGTAATTGGTTTTCCTTTTATGGATTTCTGTATACTCTGGTCAGTTTGTTTGGAAAAACACCTAGTAGCTGTTCTAATGAATGAGCAGCACAACTTATTTCTCAGACACAAATTCCTTCTTTGAAAAGACACAGATTTTAACACCGAAGCAATCCTGCAAGTTCTAGACACCCATTTAAAACAATGTTGACATTCATCTAGGTCAGTGGTGTGGTGACCCCCCAATGATAAAATTATTTTTGTTGCTACTTCTAAACTGTAATTTTGCTATTGTTATGAATTGGGCGACCCCTGTGAAAGGGGTGTTCGAACCCCAAAGGGTCAAGACCCACAGGTTGAGAACCGCTGCTCTAGGTGTTTAACTGCACTTGCCATAACACATTTGGGATCTTCAGTTCCTTTGTGAGCCTTTAGCCCTAAGATTTCCTGTTTTGCTTCCTACAAAGCCCGTCAACAGATAGATTCCAGAATAGGTGACAGCACTTACAGGAAACAGTTAAGGGAAACATCCTTGAGTTTGAGTGTTCACAAATGTCTGGATCGGATGCACATGCTTTAAAAGATGTCCCTTGAAAGACGTCTCAGTTTTTGTTAATGCCATCACTTAAGGTAATGCAAATTCTTAACACATCTTTATTTTCATTAAAAATTTTTTTTATTAATTCCAACAACACTATTCACTAACAAAAAATGTTCTTATCAAGCTCAGGGTGCAGGAGGGCTGGAGAGCTGATGACCTTGATGAGGCGCCGGGTTGTGACCATGAAGAGGTCATGCGCCCTCACTCTGGCCTCCAAGAGAGCCTTAAGTAAAGGCTGAGCCCTGCCTCCTCCGCAGCCCTAGTACCTCTTCAAAGGCCTGGGACTTGCTACCTCTGCTCTTGCACATCTGTGCCGCTAGCACCAGAGAGACTCTCTCTACACTGAGTTGCAGCCACTGCACTGTCATTTTTACTACAGATTTTTCTTTTTGCTGTATATCCTTAGAATATGCTCACTTTCCAGAAACTTTCAATGCTTTTTTTGTTTTATAAATTCTGTTAGTTATGGCCATTTTGGTAGGCGATGGTGTGTAGAGCTCCCCCTGTTTCCATTCTGCAGTAGACCTCTCACTTATTTCACTGTGTTTACCCCACTCCACTTTTTTTAAAAATAATTTTATTGGGGGCTCATACAACTCTTATCACAATCCACACATAAATCAATTGTATAAAGCACATTTGTACATTCCTTACCCTTATCATTCTCAAAACATTTGCTCTCCACGTAAGCCCCTGGCATCAGCTCCTCATTTCCCCCCCTCCCTGCCTACTCCCCACTCCCTCAGGAACCCTTGATAATTTATAAATTATTATTTTGTCATAACTAACACTGTCCAAAGTCTCCCTTCACCCACTTTTCTGTTGTCCGTCCCCCATGGAGGAGGTTATATGTAGATCCCTGTAATCTGTTCCCCCTTTCTTTTTTTAAAATTATTTTATTGGGGGCTCGTACAATTCTTATCACAATCCATACATCCGTCCATTGTGTCAAGCACATATGTACATTTGTTGTCCTCATCATTCTCAAAACATTTGCCTTCTACTTTAGCCTTTAATATCAGTTGCTCATTTTCCCCC